GTTACGGGGCCTCCGAAGATTTTCGTAACGTTTGGAGTCGGAGCGTAGGTGGCTGCGTTTACCACTAGTGGGTTGGGATGTGTCTCGGCCTTCTCAAAGTAGCGCTGAGACATTTCCTTGAAATATTCAGAGATCGTAGGAAGTTGACAGTAGTAGGAGCTTGTGTCTAAGGACAGTTTACTCTTGCTGTTCCCCAGCGAGTAGAGACGACTAGTGACCATTTTGGCACGGTTGCGAACAGAGCGGATATGTTCCACGAAGGTCACGCCATCATCAAAAGTATATATATTAGCCGTTGATTTCCAGGGGATCTGACTACCGAACAGGTGATTTTGCTTTATCGGAATTTGTGTTACGAAGATTGAAAGTGACGTTTCTTTTAAAGTATATTGCTACACTTTTCTCAGAATTCACTTTGATTCTCCATAAGCGGAACAAATCACCTAAGCGGTAGACGGCTGCTTGGAGCATTATGGTGACAAATCATTTATAATGGGCGAAGAAGAATGCCATGTCATCAGCGAAAAGAGCAGTGTTAAATACTGGGTCTTTAGGGATATCACTCGTGTAGATTGTGTGGGGAGAGGGTGCTTAGAGGTGGGTGCCCTCTATTAGGCAGCGAAAATGGCGGTTGGCAAGGAAGGCTCTGATGTTGTGAGTGAGCCTTTCGGCACGTTGAGATTGTACAGCTTGTAAAACAAGCCGTCGGGCCGACTTTATCAAACGCTTTTGCGACAGAGAAGAAGAGGGTGCCGGTGGTCGTGGTCCTTTGACCTCTTTTGAAGCCTTTCAGAATATATTCTGTGACACGATGTAACTGGTCAATGCACGAGTATTCGGGTCTGAAACCGAACTGCTCGTCTTCGGGAGGAGCTTTAATATAAGGCGTTCGTATACTTTCTCCAGTGTGCTGAGGAGACTTATGGAACTGTAGCTGAAAGCTAAGTTGCGCAGTTTCCCTGGTTCTGGGATTCCTACAACGCCTGATTCTTTCCAGGCGTCCAAGAAGTAGGAGCTAGAGAAAAGGGCGTTGAAAATGTCCACTATGAGGCAGACAAGTGGCGCTGAGAGTGATTTAAGCACCCAGTTGCAATAGCCATCGGGGCCAGGTGCTTATCTCTAGTAAGGTTTTTATTACTTCTGTGACTTCATTGACCATCGCAGGCTCTAAGAGGTCGTCCGTGGATAGTCACGCAGACTTACGCTCGACCTCCGCTTCAACCTCTGCGAGGTGAGAGGGATCTGTGGTTTCGCTAGAAAGAGTGTATTGACTAGAGAGCCAATCTAGAGAGATTGTCCGCGCGGCATTCAGGTTTTTCAGGGTCACCAAAAGCGAGATCGGGGTTTCCTTGCCTAATGAAAGGTGGCATGTGTGAGGATTGGTCGGCTTTCAGAGCTCGGGTCAACTGCCAGAAGGCAGTATGTGATGGCTTGATATCCTCCAGCAGATTATCCCACTTATCATTTCTAAATTCTGCAAAGCACTCTTTTACTGCGTTTTGGAGGTTGCGCAGTCTAAATTTATTATCTATTGTGCGGTAGTGATCGTATTGTTTAAGGGCTACGATGTTTGCTCTGATCAGTTGCCGAATGTCACTCGGAAACTTCAGGTGTCGATTGCTCGACACGTGAACCTTTCGAGAGCATTCTTCGGCCGCTGAGGTGAGATGGTCCGAGAGGCTTCCTCTATTGTGTCGAGAATCGTGTCTAAATGCTGGGGGGTCAGACTCGAGTTTGACCTCGAGCATACGCCAGTCCACGATGGTTTCGTTCTGAAGGACCTCACCTGCGGGCTGGCCCAGCTGTAAAAGGACTGGTCTATGATCCGAGTTAACCTCTAGAATTGCCTCTATAGATGTAATCGACAATCGTTCATCTTTGAGTAAAGCTATTTCATGGGTGTCCGGTCGATATCTGATAGTAAATGGGTATATGGGTTGCAGTCTGAGGCGCGATAACATCAAAGTTTAGTCGCTCCATGAGATTGAACAATATATTGGCATTTGGGTTGTTTGTGAGCGAGTTCCAGTAGGAATACTTACTGTTAATATCTCCAGCTATTATGAAATTGGGGCCTAGGTTTAGTAATTCTAAAATATCTGAATCTATAATATGCTTCATTGACGGTTGATACGCCGTGACGATGGTAAGTGGCGGATGGCCGGACACAGCTAGTTTACATATAGAAACTTATATGTTAACGGGGGAGCGTCGATCAGTTCGCAGTGCAGGGACCTCTTGTAGTAGATCAAGGTACCGCACAAAGGGCTGGTCAACCTATTATTTCTAACTAAGGTGTAATTTGCGATCTTTGGATCGCGATGACTGGGCTTCAAGAAGGTCTCTTGCAATAGCTTAACGTCTACTTCGTTGTTGAGCAGGAAGAGCGCGATCTCGTCTTTTTGTTCTCTGAGCCCGCTTGCGTTAAAAAACGAGACAGTCAGAGAGCGTGGTTTAAGTCTACCAAACGGTTGTACTGCCATTATGGGTTTCAATTAGGCTGTATAGGCGCACTGGAAAGACCAGATTGAGTCGATTCATCCTATGTGCTCAATCGTGGCGTTAAGCTCGTCCTGAAGGGTGGTAACTCCGCGTAATTTGCGGGCGAAGGTGCATAACTCAGCGACGTTTATGCTGCCGAAGACGGTGCGGGTTCGCGATAGTTCGCTGGTTGTTCCTGTTCACGGCAACTACCGCAGCTTGGAGGCTCTGATGACTCGGGCGTGCGGATGCAGTTGGTGGTGCCGTGCTCACCTAGTCACTTGACGCACCTAGGCCTGGCATAAAAATTTCTGGCCGAGTGGCCGTAGAGTTGGCATCGGTGGCACTGGACAACGATGCCTATATTACAGAAAAAGAATGTTACAACTGTGTTACTTTTCTTACTTGTCGTAAAAGTTGACCAGTGGTTGACCACTAAATGTGCCATTATTGAGTTTTAAAATTGTGTACATGACTATTTGGACGTAGCTTTGGAATCTGCCTACCCCTCAAATATAAGACGCGTTACGCTATTCCATATGCCATTGTTCTCAATAACTATACTCAATCCTTTTTTACTAAATTTTATTACAATATTTTTTTCATTCCTTATCAGCCCGAAATAATCCGACATTGGCCTCTAACACACCTCTACCGCTATAATGAAATATTAATAATAGTGTCTGGAAAATATAATGGTGATGCAGTATTTATGGTCGTGTTGAAATATTCTTACTTCGTACACATCGATATTTTGATTGACATTTCTCAATAAACTTCACGATAAAACAAAATCAAACAGCAGACATTAAAAATGAAGTAAGCCAGTCTAAATAAAACAATCAAGGTCACTTTCAAAAATTATGTTTGGCTTCGATTGATTCGTAAACGAGGTAGCTCAAATCATCAAGACGATGGTTTACGTGCTATATGTAGCCATGAATGACCAGCCTATATGTAACCATCACCATCGAAACAAACACAATCACAAGTACACATCAGTACATAGGTCTCACCAAAAAGTCGCCTGTTTGCTACAGTTGCCATGCATGACAGGCGATGTGGTAAACGTAAGTATAGTAAGATATTGCTGAACTAAAAGGAATGTATAAGTCAATGGTGGCTCAGAGAGTTGGGGTCACGTATCCGTTTAACCTTCGAACCAAGGGTATATACTACAACTGCTAAAAGTAATTCGAATGTATACATTCATTACATCTTATCAAGATTCTTGCAGATCATAGGCCTCCCCATAGATTACCTGATATTATATATTAATAGCATAGTTGTAGCACGAATGGGTTGGCTCGACCGGGGAAGGACCACGCTCTCACAGAACAGCGTAAAAAAGCAGCTTAATCCTGCTGTGTTTTGTATGGTGAGTGTAGAGAACCGGAGACCTTTTTTACTGGAAAAAAGGCATTTCATCTTAGTCCTCACGGCTGACAACGCATCTGCATTTTGATTCGCAAACGAGGATAGATGTAGATGTCTATGGGCCGCAGCAACCACTTACCATCAGGTGGACTGTGTGCTCGTTTGTCACCTGATTCTATAAAAAGGAGGGATATTTGCTATAGATGGCGCGTTTAGCCGGCGGGATGGCAACCATTGTGTTTTAATATCTTAAGCTATTATCAGGAATATGCTGTTTCATTTCCTTTTTCAATTCCGTCTATCGCCTCCTACGACACCCACGGGATGATATGGGGGTAGTTGGAATTCATTACTCCGCCTTCAAATATCATTGTATCCAGCATCTTTGTATTTTGTTAAGGTATCTTATAAAAATCAAGCATCGGCGAAAAATGCATATATGCCCGCCAACCCGCCCGCCCAGAGTATTGGTAAATATTCCAAATAAAATAATCGCCTGCTGGCTCTTTAGGAACATCTTTGTCCAGCTATGGGCTTACTTTTTGTTGATTATGATAAATCTCAGTAAGTAAAACATTTCAATTTCTATGTCTTTGAACTAAACTGGAGGCAGTTTACAAACATCTTTTTTTTATAGGATAGGGTGACAAACGAGCACACAGTCCACCCGATGGTAAGTGGTTGCTGTGGCCCATAGACATCTACATTTATCTTCGATTACGAATCAAAATGCAGATGCTTTCCCGTGAGGACACTCGTGAGGACTAAGATGGAATGCCTCATTTCCAGTAAAAAGGGTCTCCGGTTCTCTACACTCGCCATACGAACACAGCAGCCTCAAGCTACCATTTCACGCTGATATTCTATGAGAGCGTGGTCCTTCCCCGGTCGAGCCGACCCATTCGTGCTACAACTATACCACCAACATAACTGCAGCATGGCTCTACCTCGTACAACATTGTTTAGACGTACATAGATTTCACGCGGACAATCCAGACCTGGAATAATTAATTGTAGCTCCCACAAAAACTTTTCCGTGTGGGACTCGAACCCACAGCCCTCAGCGTCGCAACTCCATGCTTAACTACTATGTTACGCAGCAGTCACATTACATTGGACACGACATCAAAAACAAGTCTTACCTATCCAACTAGCTTCATTCTCAGTTATGTGAATACTCGAATCTGGACTCTTCAGCTGGGGTAACGCGGTCGCTGAGAAACCGAACGCCATGCCGGTATTCATGGTGCCCAAGTTGGCAACAAATGAGGCCAGCACTTGCCTGTAGGCCTTCCCTCTACCAGCCTTTCCGGTTTTTTGAGGAGTCGGCGGTACAGGTGTTTTTGTGATGACAGCGGTGCTGCCATTCTTAACGAACGGTGTAGCGTCGTTCCTGGAGATAATGAAAAGAGGTATTAGTTAAACGGTTCATTTAATAATTTATTAAAGAAAAAGCGATGTGGCATTATTTCGATTTGAGTTAGTCATTTTAATAAATTTTACGATTTCTAAAAAATCTAAGTTTTACGATAAATCAAATTTCATTACAATCGGTTCAGCCATTCCATGCCAAAAGCCGAGACATACAGAGTTTACATACAAAAATTTTATAATTGGATATTGTCATAACATACAAATAATTAGAGATGGGCCGAACATGAATTTCACCGAAAACGAATATTCGGCCGAAAGTTCGGTAAAAGTTTTACCGAACCGAATATTCGGCCGAACATTTTTCGGCAGGATCACCTCGGTTTCTGACCAATTTATGTTGAAACTTGTTACCGTAAAGCGCGCGGGATAGCGCCGGACCCTGCCCCTCGCTCCCCCGCCACACCTGACATGTTATTGCATCATTTTTTGTGAGAAAAAAGTATTTCATTGTGTTATTCTTAATGAAAATTGATAATTATAATATGATAAAAATAATTGGCAGGAAATCTACCATTTGAACTTATTTTAGAGAAATTGAGTTCCAAAATAAATTGAAATGTACTAATGTATTGTAAGTGTTTCTTTTTTTGATTCCAAAAACATTTTATCAAGCTTTCTATTTGCTATAATTGGAAATAAATCTATACAAGAAGATTTAACCCATAAATAAAATATACTTTCAACAGTAGAATTATGAAAGACATGGCATTACTCAATTCGTACATTTCAATACAGTGAACATTTTGAGTACCACTTTAACGAATGTTCGGTGATTTACTCGAATATTCGGCCGGATACGAATATTCGGTAAAGCTGCCGAATATGTCGAACACCGAATATGAAACGAATATTCGGCCCATCTCTACAAATAATTCCCACAGCTCAATAAAAGGCAGTTATTTCGATATCACAGACAGAAAATTCAATTTTTTTATAATTATAAAGTACAGACAAACAAGGAGACAAAAGGACTAAGAAAACGTAAAATATAGACCATGTCCAGCAATGGCCTTGTATGTATAAATACAAATTCGTCGATCATATTTTTAAATAACGGACGCAAAATAAAATATACCTAACTTTCAATCTAATTTACCAGATAAATAAGCTGTTTAGTTTCGCATAAATATAAACGTCATTCAAAATTTATCAAATAAACTAATTATAGCAAATATATTAAGAGCACGATAAAGAAACAAATAATATTGTAAACATTTCATTAATCAAACTTAACAAACACCTCAGGTCACAAATAGTTTGTAGTTATCTCTTAGTGCATTCATCGAATAGTTCATTAAGACATTTTTTGAAGAGGATATTGAGTATTGTTACTAAGATACAACGTTCAGTCAGGGTTATCGATGTTTTGTGATAATGAGGTCTATTTGACCTTACAATCGGTCATGTGGTTCTTGAGGTCAGCGGTGCTCAAATTGTGCACTACGTATCTTCTCCTCTACATAATAATTATAGTATAAAATGAAGCCGCTTCTCGCCGTCTATACGCTTAAATCACAAAGCAAAGAGTAACGACTTAAATCTTTCAAACTACGTAACGGATTCTTAAGCGGTTTTCATCAGTAGACAGAATGATTTAAGAGGAAGGTTTATATAAAAATAAATATAATAAACATAAAAATCAATTGCCGTATGAAATATCATCACTTAAGCACGGCTGCACTGATTTTGATGAAGTTTTTGCGTATTTGGGTGGGTTCCTGGATGGTTTACATTTACGATTGAATCCGGTAGGTGGCGCTGTTTTAACACAAGCTTATACCCGCAGCTGTGCTTACTACTTAAAAGTCGATGATTTTTGTTTACTGTAAAGTTAAAATTTATTGTTTTTAAGATTTTGGGCTTTCGAAACACGTAAGCAAGTTACGTAGAGCTGGCCATAGGAAAAACAATACTCAACTACTATATTTAAGATTTTACCCTAAAATTTTTTCATTGGCATTAAAATGCTACTTTTAATGAGTATTGTAATAAAGAAAGGTAGGTTGTTTGTTATAAGAATCTGTGGTTATTTTATGCAGTGGACATAAATTACGTGACATAGAGCTGCAGATTTTATAGAACGAATAAGCACTTGCCTTCTTCTTCGACTTCTTTTCTGCCTAAGAGCCCGTCCGCGTACTCGGTTAAAAATATTTCAATGTGAAGTCAGCCACCAGGTATGGAATTATCACGCCCGAATTTTCCTTGCGCTAAAACTTTCTCAGTAATGAAATGACCAGCAATGCGACGTATGTAGACTGTTACTTATTTGTTTTGATGATTTTGAATGGGCACTTACACTATTCATGCCCAGCGTAAGTGATATTTACAATTTGTTTAATAAAGTATGTGTGCGTGTCACACGATTATAAAGTCCACCTGATGGTAAGTAAATACTGGAATGTATTCTTCCTAGACAAGACTAGTTGTGAACTATTTACAAGAGGCAAAATATAATAGGGATATGTATTACTGTGTAGATCGGAACAAACATTAATAATTTTAATCTGTGGGTAACCGTGGTTAACTATGACATCTGGACGTTGAACATCTCAATTCTTCCCCCCGTGACCATGGCATGGGTGCTGTAAAGTGCTCGAAACGTCGGGTATATAAAAAGTTAATATACGCGATATAATCCGTAAAAACTAGTTTTATTTGAATAGGGATATTATTAACACCCTGCAAAAAGTTTGAAAAGCAATGGACAACACGTGCTGGCGTGATGGCGAATGAAACGTAACTGATAACATTTAAATGTTTATTGTACAATTAACATGTCAACGACTTTATCCACTTTTAATTCAGGGATTATTTATTATCAAGTGGCTATGAATGTGCTGCATCAAATAAGATTATTAATTATCATACATTATTGAATGCATATGCAGTTTAGTGTAAGTTATAGCAAAATTTTTCACATGAAAAAACGGTCACGCTTGCTCCGTTACTTTAACCACTTTTGACTCTTCATATAACTGTAAAACAAGTTATTTCTACGGTATCGGTATTATGCATATCGGTATTGCGCATCAGCTTTGCCTGCTATGTTTAGTTTTTGCAAATGTTGTCAGTGGTCCATGTTTAGCCTAAAATACCATTTAACCTCTTTCTATATTACTATTAAATGTCCAATTTAAAAATAACTTGCAAGAGTTTGCAATTTAAGTTCAATCTCAAATAAGGACAATACTAATAAAAGACAAATAACTATAAAACTGTTGTTAATAGAGGAAATCGCAACGCATTCGTATCCAACATAACTTTCTTTACCGTAGTTGGGGTTCTGCAAGGCGGCGTATTTATTCCTCTTTTACAGATAATCTTTATACCGTTACATCTGAAATATCAAGCAGATGATCTCCAATTATTTTTTTTACAAACTACCGTTGAAGATCTTCCGAAAACAGTTGAATATATTAACTAGGATCTGGCATATATTTTCGATTGGAATCGACCATATGTGATGTACACTGTTTGAAATCCATATAAATGATTATCAAATTAAAAAATGGTAATTACAAACAGTTACATTTAATTGTGACCCTATTCCTTATAATCAGGTTGTTAAAGGTATCCTTTTGGTTTCCAGCCTTTTTTTTGGACTTCTTAAAATAATGCAGTAAATAATAAAAAGTTTGTAGGATACCTCAATCTCCTCTCTATATAGTACATGTAGTCCATACTGAGAGAGTATAGACTGTATAACAACTCCCTATGCTGATATTTACCTTATTAACGGAGGAACAACTTAACAAACTTGAGTAACTCCAAAATCTCCGTATACGATTCATATATGGACTACATAAATATAACATGTTTCAGAACACAGCATTAAACTCAAATGGCTTCAAATCCGTCTGCGTCGGAATACATATTATATTATTTCTGCTCATTACTACATTTTATTTAATATCAAGTCCACCTTATCTAAAAGAATTTTAGAAATTTATATTACTTAGCTCCTGACACAAGTTTTTTAGTGCATAAGCAGTTATCCTTTAGATATTGCACTCTACCTTTTAATCTTTCTGCACCTATTTAATTATTTTTTGGGTTGTCCGGAAAAGAAATCTATTAGCAATTAGACTGTCTACTGTTTTCCCTCAATGTTTTGTTATATTAATAATTCTTTGGTGTAGAATAAAGAGTATTGCATTATAATTAAAAACTATACCAATAATGTATTGTATTGTAAGACAGCATTGTATGAATATTCAACATGATGAGGGAATTAAAAATAGATTTACTTATTTAGATGAAAACTGCCAGTAACATTCAACACCACCATCAACATAATTTGCAATTCGATACATAACGGTCAAGGTTACTTAAACGATATTATTTAAATGAAACTGTAACACGCACGAAAGCGGTCAAATACTGTCCTATTCTTCAGTAATCAGTACAAAAATTCACAAGTGGTCATACGCCTCTTTTGATACATCACATATTCGCAGGACATTTGCAAAAGCGGGATGTCAAGTAAAAATCCAATCTACACATTTATAAATATAAATAAAATTGAAATTTCAATTGAAATAACTGCCTTTTATTGAGTTAAGAGGTTATATCCATGCTACTAAGAAAAGAGGAAATATTATTAAACATTTTGTCCATCTTTTTATATTCGGAATGTCAGAACCGCTTGTGATGTAACTTTACGAACAGATAGAGTGCAATACAAAGAGAGGTCAGGCTATATTTTATCCGAAAACACACGAAAAATTGATAAAAGAAATGTTCTTTGATTATTGTAAATCTAAATAATGCCACATTAATACATCTCCCACAAGCGTAGCCAGGACGCGTCGCTAGTAAGAAAATAAATTGTGCAGAAATAACACAAATGAACTGACAAAGGTCTAAAAGCATTGAATAAAAATAATTTTACGGATTTAATCGCGTTTAATTTGCTTAAAATAACTATAAAAACCCGCGTAAAAGAACATAATAGCT